AAATACTGATAATGAAAGATATTTAAAATAGATGAAAATAAACATTATAAAAATGAAATCATAATGACCTGTAAATCACTCTGATGTGACTGCTACTCTACTAATAAATAATTCAGCTCTTCTTCACTATAAAGGACATCATTAAGAAGTTGTTAGTTCAAACACTTGGTCTCAACTAATCCAGGCTGTCAGATATCTCACGCTGCATTTGTGTTCAGGGTTTTGCCATTGAGTTTTGCTCTGTGAGATATTTGTGTGTGCACGTGCAAAAGCAGTGTACTTCACTAATTAATTCCAAATCAATTTTTATGACAACAGCAGTGTTTGTTAGAAAATAAAAACAATGCAAAGTCACCTGAGAGAGGACAACAGAGGGAAGGTGTTCGAAAGGACTTGTCAGGCAGACAGAAATAAGAAGTCCTTTCAAGGTCCCATCAATTATGCATGGTGTAGGCATTTCTGATCTTAAAACCAAACCAAAGCACAGCAAACCCCTGCAGTTTAGTTAAATTTCTGATCAATCATTTGCATTCTGAAGTGCCCAGTTCAAATAGACTTAGCTTATTATCTTGCAAATCAGACCTGTTCAAACTTGCACAGAACTCCAGGCATTAATAACATACTTAACTTTAGTAGGCACTTTCAAGAATTACCTCAGTCTCTATCTTACATAAAAATATTTGTACTTGAAGAAATAAATGCCATACAATACATTAATAAAAATAATGAAGATTAATCCAATACATATGGTTAAGTAATTTGTTTTCTTATTTCATTGGATCAAGTGATGCATTTGCCTGTCAGTATGGCTACATGTAAAATGGTGGACAACTAAACTTTTAATTCAGTTCTGCAATTCATGTTTTGCTAAAATACCTTACTCATCTGTACAACACTAGGCAGCCTCTACTGACAAACCATAGTGAAATTAGTCACCAACCAAAATTTACTAAACTCAAAAGTAAAACTTCAAGTGTTAGCACAAAGCTCCCCCCTTGAGAGGACCAAACAAGAATATTGTGTAATGCATAATCCTAGTTTTAAATTTGGAAAAATCAGAGCACCTCAATAAATTTTTGGCAGCTACCTTACCGGCATGCACCTGTGACTCATCTACCTGCTACATTTCTTATCTTCCTGCTACAGACACAGAATTGAAAGACTCAAGGAACATCATATCTGTAGTTTTTGTGTTCTGCATGTAGCACTGAGATAGGAGGTACTTGCCTGACCTAGCAACTGATGCTGCAAGAGAGGAAAACTAATTAAACGGCATGGCACCCTGCCAAGCACTAACTGTAATTTAAAATAATAATTTTTAAAAACATGTCATTTAGTTTAAAGTTCTAGGAGCTGAATATAGTGTATTATTTCTACATTGTATTTTACATAGAAGTCACTTTATTAAAAGCGTGAAATTAAAAACAGAAATACACACCGGTATGAAAGAACTATGCAGACACCTCAAGGCAGCGGAAGTGATGGCAGTGGGAGTTTCACTCCCATGACTGTGTAAATCTGAGGCCGCATCATGCAGAATATGACTCGATATGCCTCCAGAGACACAGTAACTTGCTTTTTTAACACTTTTCCTTGTGGGAGGCATTTGATTTTCTAAAGAGTCACACTGAATACCAATCATATGAAGACTGAAAGAAAAACCCCCACAAACCAACCCCAAATCAATGAAAAATACGGGGTCCAATTTTTAAACTTTGAAAGGCAAAACACTGAGTATGCAGATCTTCTAACAGTCATGGGCATAACACTGAAAACAAAGTAATTTTAATGCCATCCAGCTGAATCTCAGAAACTTGGAAAATTATAAAATCAATTCATTCAATTAAAAGAAAAGTACAAGTATAAATTACTGATTGGAACATTAGTCAGAAGTTCTTTTTCAGAAAGTATAGGCTGAATAAAACTTCTGCAAAATGCTGCATTCTAAAGAAAGTAAAAAAATGCAAAGATATTTTTCATAACTAATTTGGTTTTTCTTGGAAATTAGAGTTATGTAGGGGTTTGTTGTTGTTTTTTTTAATCTGTCCGTCTCAGCTCCATGTTTCCAATAATTATGTCATGGACTAATTCCCAACAAATTTGAAAAGGAGATAAAAGCCTTAAAAATACTGCATGCCAACATGTCACATAGAAAGATTTAGCTGGGTAAAGCACAGAGACTATTAACATCTACATCTAAAGTGTATTCACTTGTTTATAAACAAAGCATTCGATTTCAGAAAGGAAATGTCAACCCCTAATATTAAAATAGATACTTCAAACATTAGGTTGTCTTTCAAAATGTCATCAGTAAAAATTACACAGTACTACATCTCATGAAGCTATGTGAAAAATTTAGAAAAAAGAATCAGGAATTTGAACTCTGATCTCTTCCATCACCATAGAGTAATTTCAGATAAAAGGCCATCCCCTCCCTCTGAAGTGTTACTGTAATATAATGTTATGATACTTGAAGCGTATTACTAGAGTTGTATGGCAACAGGCAACAACCCTAAGTTACATATTTAAGATCACACTGCTATCAAATGTAAATTTTCTGTAACATCCCATTCTATAAGGTCATTAGAACAGATACGTAGCTGAGACACGTGAAAAGATGATGATTGGAGGTGATGGCAGAGAAAAGGAATATTGTTATTGTGGTGTTCATCCCTTGCAATACCAGACCTAGTTAATGTATACATCAGGATTATTCATCTTTCTTCTTTTTTTTTTTTTAAAATACTGCTTTGCATTTGTATAAAATACCTCATTTCAATTTCAATTTACTTTTTGCTCTTCAAAAAGTCGTGAAGCCAACAGTTGCCCTGTGCCAGCAAAAGTGTAAGAGGAGCGGGACTCTGGAAAGCAATTATTGTTCAAGTAATTTTGGTAAGGAAACAAAGTTTGTTTCTTTTTAATTATACACTTGGCGCTGTATTTTTAGACTCAGGAATTTTCTCAGATGTAGTTCTGAGATACCATTAATATATAAGATAGTGTAAAAATATAGCCTATGCGCGTATCTGACATTAGTATCTGTGTTTCACTCAATACATTCTTAGAGCTATTCCGGAATAGACACTGCACACATGTCTGAAACGAGCATACTTTCTCAATCTGAAAAGCAAATGACAATGTAAGACAACCTCCTACAGGAAAGTATTGATTCAGTTACTGTTTTGTCATCTCATTTGTCTGTAACCAGCCGATACACATTTTATGCTGCACCTGCTGACTATTCCATAATTCAGTTTATAGACTTCCAAAATATTTTAAAAGAAGTTAGAAGGCATGGAAGCTTACTAGCACTGCTTTCTGTACACAGGCACAAATCACTCAGGAAAAATGATGTCCGCTTGTATATTTAGACGGCATTGTCACTGCTGATTTATTCAGTTACGTCTCAGAATATTTTCCCATATTAATACTGGGAAGTTTTTTTTTATTCCCTTATAATATGCCTAAAAATGTGATGGAACAACTTCCCCTCCACACTTTTTGTTTGTTTTAATCTCTCTTTATAGCTAATTACATGAGATTTGAGGAAATGTGTTGCTTTGCGAAAGCGGGGGCAGCTTTGCATCATTTTGCTAGAAAAACAGTTGAGGGCTCTGGCTGTACCCCAAAGCAGAATGGAGTCACTGCAGCATGACCCTTTACCACCAGCTTGCTTTCATTTGTAAACAGTGTAGGCTTGCCCAAAACCAAAAAAAGAAGGTAGGGGGGAAAAAAAAAAGAAATGGTCTCTTACTGACCATACCTCAGCTCTTGTGGTTGATGGTAAATGACACTATATAAAACTTCTTTTTCCTCTAGCATCAGGGTAATAAATCACATTCACTCTCACCTTTTATCAAATACTTGAAATTTTTCAGTCTTTTCCATGGCATGAGCAAGAGTAAAAATATTTTATATGCACTGTGAATGCAAGTGTATGCTATGATAAGAACTGAAAGTGTGCTGTTTGTAGAAAAATTTATTCCAAGTTTGTTTGCTGTCTTTATGAATTTGAGAGTGTTCAGCGCTGGGAGTTTAGCTTTTGGCTAGAATGTTTTCAATTCAACTTCTCCACTGTTTTAAAATTAGTCATTAAAAGTAGTATCAAATTGTAGTGTTTAACTGAAGTTATCAAAACCTAGAACTGGGCTTGCAAGAGACTGATACATTCTAGAAACGGTTTTATATTTGATGCCACCAGAATTTGTCACCAGTGAGTTATCTATTACAGGTGATACCCACATTTTTAGTAACTGTTGCCAGTGTTGTTTGTTTCCTTATTATGGACTAATATATTTATTCAGTTTTTATGATGCCTCAAAATTTATGTCTAAAAAGAATTAAAATGTATCAAGTGTATCAAATGTCTTTTCTTCTAGTAATAACTGGAACTGTAATCACAGCAATAATGCGGGCTGGCAGTCTGCATGCAACAATATCAATCATTAATGTATATAAGGAAGGAAATTTAGCAATTCAACAAGCCGGCAAGAGTATGAGTGCCAAAATTATTGTTGTATGTAAGCAGTGTCCTCTCATCAGAAGAGGTAAGTACACAAAAATAACCGCTTTGTGTGTTTATAAAAGACAAGAGTTTTGAAAACTGTGATTTGAAATATGACCACAAAAAAATCAGTAAAATGACATTAATTGTTTCTGTCATCAGCAACTAATATTATAATCAAAGATAAACACCCCTAGTTATCCAGGTTTATATTGCATTTTTAAGTTTTACTTATAAAGAATTAGACTCACTGAGATCAAAGGAGTTTGAAAAACTTTTTTTTTTTTTTTTTTAAACCCACGCGATATAAGGTAAAATCTGATTTGGTTCTCTCAAATGAAGCTCAGTGAGATTTTGGTTTTATGTGTATGTATTTTGGAGCTAGCTTTCATACACTATTACTTAAAAGGGAAAAACAACAGCGTGCTGTACCTAGAAGAGCAGTATGGCACAGCAAATGACAAAAATCAACACTGCTCCCTGTTGCTTCTCTCATGTGTCTATTTACATCTTTACTGTAGAAATGCTAGTAGTATTAAGCCCACTCTGTATCTGCAAACAGCCAGTATTTCTATAGCTATCTTAAACAGTATTATACAGAGTAGATCAACCAAGACATTTTCCAGTTAAAGGTAACAAGGGCTACCTATATGGTGTTATAAGAAATAATAAGACTATGTTTCATCGGAATAACTAAGTAAAAAATAAACCAGTTTTCAGCTCTGCCTCCTGAGTAAACAGGTAGAACAGGAGAACATAAATGGAACCATAGCAGGAAACAGTCAAAATAATTTAATAAGCATCAAAAAACCCCTGATACCATTCAGGATACTACTGTTATTTAAGCATATTAATTCAAAGTGGGCAGTACCAAAGTGAAAAAAACTTGTCAGAAACTAGCTTTTTGTTTTTACTGTTAGTTCTCTGGAAACTAGACATCCATCTGGGAGACATATCATCATCCTTGGTAGAACAAATTGTCTCCTGTTAGGCAGACTGCTGGCTCCAAACCACACACTTCTGTTTCTCTTCCTAAATCTCCATGAATTATTTAATGTCCATTACTTAATATCTAAACTTTTCTGCTTATACCCTTATAACACCACTCCTTCCAGCCTAAGGCCTTGCAAACCCTTAACCCTTCTAAGCCATAAAAATACGCAAATCCATGGGATTTCTCCAAAGCTAGGGCTTATCGCAGATTAAGCCTACCTTACTTGCCTGACTGCCTCTCTATATATCTAGAAAATGTTTATGTCTTTGGGGGAGGAAAAGGGAATGAAAAAAAAAATGAAGTGCATTATCCTACAAGCTGAGCAAATGAGAAAATATCCAGACTGAATGAGACACACTCTACTTCAAGTGTTAGTAGCTAAGTTATCCAATGTTTATACTGCATTTCTAATATCTTTCAGACTCGTTTGACAGTCTACATTTAATGAACATCTCCTATATATTTAATCTCCTATATATTAATATCTATCTACTTGATTTTTACATAACTGTACTTTATTGCATAAAAACATGGCAAAGATGGGTAAGGAAGTATATGCTTTAGGTAGGAAGGAAAAAATGTTAGAAGGCATTGGTAACAGTGCAACCAGAGACCACAGATAAAGAACTATACTTACCAAATCACATCCTGGATTTCTGTCTTATAATATCATGCTCTCCTTTGTAGGTTTAAACTACATCATCATGGGCCAGGTAGAAGAAGACGGTAGAGGCAAAGTCTTTCCCAACAGCTTTGTCATGAGTTTTAAGACTAAGAACTCAAAGATCCTAAATGCCTTGAAAAACAAAACATGTTAAAACTCAACTCTGCAGCTGCATTCTATCACCTCTCTTGAAAAAATAATTTTCACTTACTATAAGTCATGAAGATACAACTGTCAGCCCTAAGACCATGCTCGCCCTTCCCACCCTCCCATCCACCCGAGCACACCCTGGCACAAAGCAGTATGCGTTACACGTACCTATTGGGGCCAGACCAGATCTGCCTAAGTCTTAAAGCCGATGATTTGCAGCACAGCCGTCTGATCTCAAACATACCAAATTCCAATTACTTGGAAGCTGTTAATTTATAATTGTCCAATTTTTTAAGGAGTTGTGTATGTAAAATAAGAATTCTAAGTGCAATATTTATAGTAATTCATTTTAACTTAGCTTGTTTTATTACATGGATTTCTGCATTATTATCTGTGCTTAATAAAATATTTTAAGATTAAATCATACACCAAGTAGTTATTCATTATGTATGAAGTGGGGAAGGCTAAACATAGAAACTCTTTTGGTCATTTGCATGCTTTTGATGGTTTGGGTCTCGCATAGTATGACTGACACTAACACTTCTTTGCTGGCTAAGGGCCTCATTTTTCTTCCAGTGAAGTCAGTGAATCATTGATTTGAATAGGAACTGGATTTACTCTTCAAAGAATTAGACAACTGTAAAACAGCACCATGCTTTTTTCTACTGATGACTATTATGTAGTCAGTAAATGTCACTATGAAGTTCCGTAAGGTAATTAGGGAGAAGGAAGGCAGGAATTAATTTAGTGGTGGTAAAGTACACATGCAAATAGTTTAAATTTTTGTCTCTACTGAAAGGACGGACAATACAGCAATGCCCAGTCTGGCACCAGGAGCATAAATAGTAGCATATCCATCTAATTTATTGCATTCCTATATGCAAAAGGTTGAACAAGTAGCTATTTTGAGAATAAGGGCAAGAACAGACTGGAAGCAATGTTACCGAGATCTTTGTCAGCTCGCTCTGTTGTATAGAGTTCTTTGTTACTCTGAAACCAAAGATGGAGCAGTAGAAACAGATTATGGAGAACATTTTGGTCAAAAGCAGGTATGAAATACACACTTTTCAGACTGGGTAAAACTTGAATACTGATAAAAATTACATGGATGGAGCAAAATCTGAGATCTCTTTAAGTACTTGTTTTCCTTGTGTATAAATACCACACCAGAGTTCTTTTGATAATCTGTAACCATTTCCAGGAAACTGTAATGAAATGCACAGTCCCAATGGAAGTACTCATTGCTGATCTCAGTAGTGTAATGTGGATTACCATTCTTCAATTATTGATTCTCATATGAATGCCAAGAGGTACTGCCACAGCACAGCTCAGTAGCACTGCAGCATCTCTTCCGAAGACTTAACCGGTAGCTAGGCAGGAGACAAAAGAATTGAAGGGAGGAACAAAGGTACAAAAAGGCCGTTGCTGGGAGCTCACATCAACAGCGCAGTGCTGTAACCACACTGTGCAGATTGCTAGGCCTTTGCCTTACTGATCAAACAGCATTACTCTATGGAATGACAGCATTTGAGGGCAAAGCAGATGTAATTTTGTAATTCTAAATTTCTTAATTTTCCAGTATTGATTCCTATGCAGATTAAAGGGTTTTATGCACAGTGTGCTCTGCATTTCTCAGCAGCAGCCTGGGGAGAAGCAATGTGGAAATTATGCTTAGAACTGTCTTGAATGACAATAATCTATTTTTATTTATGATGACATGACCATCTGTCATGCAGCTTTTTTGAGTGAGGCAGGAAGAGTCTGGCAGCCTGCACCTCCTCTCCCAAACGGGAGGTAGGGAAAGCTCCCTCCTGCTCTTTTCCCAAACGGTAGGTAGGTAAAGCTCCTGCCTGCTCTTCTCAACACTCCCATTAGTCCACTTTCTTTCCCAAATCAGAGCACTGACAGCAGTAGCCCTGTGATAGGGAACAGGAGCCAGGTCTTAAAGAAACACGGAGCCGTGCCAGTTTTCTCAAGTAAGAAATTTGATTTCCACCTGCATTTTTCATTCATCAAGGCGAAGCTAGCTCTGAGACAAAGCAGACATTAACATGAAAGGAAAGAAAAAGCAGCACTTTTCAGTAGCCTCAAAAAAACCACTTAGTCCTTTCGTGACTTGCACTAAAATTTATACAAAGACATTCTGAATCCTATAGCCAAGTAAACTCCTGTTTCTCCAAACTCTTCTTGACATCCCAGTTTAAAGAAGTAACACCAACACCTAAAATTTTGTCTCTGTGCACGTCCAGAACCGTTCTGTGAGTGTGCATAAGGGAGATCTCAGAGCCCCAACGTCTGCATGCTACTTCTGGAACAGCAAGTATTGAATTGCCAAATGAGAAAGTAATAACATGTTTAATACACGTGAACTAGGAAAATCTGAATGATAAGACAAGATTCACTAAAAAGTACAAAGCACTCTGTACTGATCAGTAGCCAAGTAGATAGGAAACCTGCAACAGCTTTCAAACAATGCAGAGATGCAAAGTGTCATACAACTAAGCTACTTCAGAGAACAAACCTTTCTCTGTGTGGTATCTGTCGCTTTACAGATATGTATTCCAGGGACAAATAAAAACTCTGGAACTCCCACTTCCAATCCTAATGCCCCAAAAGTGCCTTGAAATAAGACAATTCTTCCTTGGGACGTGTCTGCACTGTTGGAACACGGTGCCACGTGACAATGACCAAGGTAGCTCTGAACAACTCTGCTTAACATATCGAAAGCAATTACACCCAGCCACATTAGCATGCTGCTTCATACTGATAAACATACCCAGTGTCCCAGAACAACTAATGAGCGTGAGCCAAGTGCCAAGCAGGTAACGCTGCATCTAGAATCCAGTCCAATCTAGCTTGTTTGGAACTAGCTCAGGTATCACTTCATGGCACTGCATGAAGTCATTTAAATGAACCTAAAGTTAAGAGGATGGTTCCACAAGGAAAAAAGGTAATACCACATTAACACCAGCTACCTTCCCAAACTTATTATCTAAGCACGACAAAGAAATTACTTTCAATATGGTACCTGATATAATGTGTTTCAAATATGACTAATATTAATACAACCATATTTTTCAAAGAGCTTTTATTCGTCTGCTGCCTTTCTTGGATATATGTAACATACACAGCACATTGGTTTTATATTGGTTTTATATTCAAATGTGAGATCTGAATCCAAATACAAAATTCAGTGATCCTCTTTGCTTTGAACACAAGAGGTTAGCTTCTTATTGACATGAAAAGCCAACAGACTTATCAGAATACCTCTATACTATAAGACTTCTGGAAGCAAAGTATTAAACCCTAGTTCAGATATACATAATTTCATAGTACAGAAAATATATTACCTTTACAAGAAAGAGTTTTATAAGAATTCCTTCAAAAAAGTAAACATTCATGTAAGCCTCCACTGTCAATCTCCCAAAATCAACTGTAGTCAAAGACCACTATGGCTACCTGCGCCTTCTGGGCATAAGACCATTTTAGAAGAGCACCATCATAACGGTAAAGTTGTCAATCAATCCTTTAGCTGTCATAAATATACTTATTTCATAATTAAAAATACAGGAATCTCACATTTCTCAATTACAGTTTGTCAACTCTATATATACGCATATAAAGCCATATAGGACCCTCTAGCACAGAAAATCCACAAAGCCCTTACTATCCATTGTAAGCAAAGTCAAATCACGTTTTCACAAAACATAGTATTCCTGACACACACACACACAAAATGTTTAGCTTGGCAACAATTGTGGTTTACAAAAAAAAAAAAAAAAAAGGAAAAAAGACAAGTTTAAAAGTAGGATATGCAAAACCTGCCTGAAGCAGGCCCTTCTGAACTACATCTGTCCAATGACCAGATACAATGTATGTTCTCACAGAAAGTGTACAGTGTTCCACGGGAATTGTTCAGCATTGCAAACAATAGCACTCACGTGCTCCACCTTGTTGTTAGGTTTTAATAATTCAAATAATTTATCATCCAGATTTTAAAAACCCAAGATATTAAACATTAAAAGTTCACAGGTTAGTTTTAAAATTCTGTTCCTGGTCTTAACATGTATAGTAAAACGTACTTTTGAGGCACCGCTGAAAAATTCAAGCAGGAATTGATTGTCTTACATATAACCATAAACACTCAAGAAATGGTTGGTCTATTTTGAGTTCAAAATTTCAATGTTCCCACAAAAGGGAAGAGTCTTGATGATTTGATTTTCCATATTCTATAAATGTTAGTATACAGTCAATGGTAACATACAAAACTTGGCACTAGAACTGCCTCTTTCAGAGTCATACAGTCTTCGCATGCACTGTAACCTACAGTCAAACATAATTTCCAACTGTGCTGGAAATTTTCTATTATTCTATATCTGACTCTTCTATTAAAAATAAACATAGGCTGGATTTTTGTCTTAAAAAGCCTATCTTCTCCCACAACTTGAAAAAGCAAGTATCAAAAAGGAACAAACAGCAAAAATAGAATAAACAAACACATCGTGCTAGCTCTGACACCTGACAGCCACAGTCTGAGGAACATTACAAAAATTCCCATATACAAGTTTTATATACACACTAAGATTAAGAGCTTAAGAAAATTACTGTATCTGTTTTTGCATTTATTTCCACCGCTTCCACATCAAGCTGCAACTCATGCAAACGCATTTTACAATGTATTATTGTGCCATAATCTTCTATTTGGTCTGGCAAAAGAATTAGGTCAACACTTTCACCTATTGGTACCTAAAAGTACACACTTTTTATTTAAAAGTTAGGCCTTAGTTTCTTGGATAAAACATAGCATATTTTGAAGTTCGAAAACCAAGCAGGTCTCTCATTTCATTTCGGAATTTTGACAAGTCTTGCCGCAGTTCATTTAGGTTTTCCACAGTTGCCTGATCCGTGCTTTGCATCTTCTGTCTCATGGAAGTCAAGTAACGGTGGACTAAGCAACACATCACCTTTTGATAATTTTCATCTCTCTTTTGCTTCAGATTTCTCCATTCCTTTAAACAAACATTACACATTTACTATGGAAAAGTGATTTTTGAGCCCTAAAGCCTGTGTACAATTACACAGAGAATAAATATAATAACAAAGCTATTTTATAGCTACCTCCTGACGCACACAAATGTACAATGTGTGGAAATTTCCAGCAAAATTTAAATTAAATGTTGATCTGCTGCATCTGTATAGCAAAACTAAAAATTTTTAATCTACCTGGCTTGGTAATCATCCTATGAGCAATTAAGAGTTCCACAATCCTGAATGTTTTGCACGTTCCATAAAGTCTTTGATTTTAGTTTATTTAATGCTATCTTTGTCAGCAAGAAGATGCAAAATTAGTATGCAAAATTACAGGGTACAATAAAAATATTTAACAAAAAAAAAATATCCCTTCCCCCAACAATGACAGACTTCAGTGATGCTTTTTGGTTATTTATTATGACACTCCTGTAATATGTTTAAAACCAATTACCTTCCCCACAGAATACTCTAACCTCACCATTTTTGAGATTAGCACATACTTCCTTGAGGTTTCTATGAGTTATCAACCAAAGCATTTTTTCCAGACTATTTCTGGGGGAATCGGGGGTTGGAGGGAAGGGGTTTGAAATTCCCCAAACTGAAAGTTAACAGAATCTTACTGAAGTAGAAATAGGTAATACTTATTTATATTTTAGATGCAACACACATTGTTCTTTAGTTCCTATTTATCTTAGTGGCACTCACCATGTGACAGGCAGCTTCATACAGCAATTTGCTGATTCATTTTAGCAAGCAGCACCTTTCCAGCTGCAGAGCCCACAGCTTTCCCAATCATTTCTTACCTTCAGGCTGTTCTGACGTTTCACTTTGCCACTTGATGTATGAGAGCAGATCCATTTACTGAGACTGTTGAAAAGATAGCAGATAGTCTTGGGAGAGGGAATAACATTGAAAGGTGGAGGTAGCGTGCATTTGTCATCAAAGTAGCTAAGCCAAAGCTTGGCACGAGCAAATTTCCATTCCTTATCTTCATGATTCTAAAGTATCAGAAACATTGACAGAGATCAGAAGCAAAAATATTATCAGGCTATTTCATAAGTTTTATTTCTTATACCTTAAAAACTGAACGTTATTTAACTTTGATTACATAGTATTTTAATAAATTTGTTACTAATATTAAATAATTAAAATACAAATCTCTTCACTATATATACTCTAGTGTAAATACAAAATTCAGCTATGAAGGTATAAACCCCCTATCAAGCACCACATCTTATCAAGAATAGCATCCTGACTTGAACAGCCACTGTATCAAGAAATTTTTCAATTCCCAGAGGGCCAACGCTTCGCACATGTTCAACATGCAAAGTACCCATTTTATTTGGATCGAAGTAAATAAAAAGTTTATATTTGAAGGAAAGATGCCCCTTGGGAGCTCAGAGACTGAGCTCATCCATAGAGATCTGTAAATTAGTCTACACATTGTATGAATTTGTATAAAATCCGAAGTTACAGCTAGCAATTATTGATGATTAAATCAGAAACCACTTACTGCTATCAGCTGAAAACTTTTATGAAGCATTGCCACAAGGAGTTTAGTTAATACTATCACAACCACCACATTGTAGGTACCAACAATAACAGCACCCACAAAAGACTGTAATTCTTCACCATAGCTAAAACGTGTGACAAAGATTGCTACATGTGCCAGGGAGAATATATACCAGAACAGAGCAAAACATGTGCCAATAAACCTACAAAAACAAAGAAAAAAATTTTGTTAGGTAAAGCAAACACCAAAAGTGAGTTTACTTAGTGTAAATACAAGTTCAATGAAAAAAATCCAGTTCTGTTTAATTACTAGGAATTAAGGGCTAGAACAACACAGTTATTTCGTAGATCTCAAACTCACGAATGGAATGTGTCATTGCTCTGTTGTTCGCAGAAAATTCCCGCACAGTCCTTTTCTTCATTTACAGTAAATCCTTTATCATAAAGTTGTGTCAATCCAATTGTGAATGAGAATAAGACAAGAAGAAACATGCCCAGAAATTTTCCAAAATCTTGTAGCATCTGCCCCATTGAAATCTGTGAAATAATTTCCAAATTCAGTAAAACATGTAGTTATTTTTGTTGTATTCCCTCCTTCAGCCTCTAATCAAGAAAAATTTTAAATGTTTAACTTAAATTTTAAGACGCTAAACAGACCCTGAAATCAGGACGTACCCTTGTACCATTTTTCAGTGAAAAATTCTAGATATTAAAAGAAAATTTAAGTAATTTTAATATCACTTGATAAGTTTTGTATCTTTCAATTAACCACAAGCAATAGTATGTGCACCTTACTCTCTATTTGTAATACCAATGATAATAAGGAACTCACAAATCAATAGATAAAAGCAGTAAATGAAATGCATTTGAACAGAAATACCATCATAGGATATTAAGAAAATGCTTAATAAGGACACTGGATTAAACATCTGGAATCATAATTCATACTAATCAAGAAGTAGTTTACCAAAGCCCATCTGCAGAACACAGAATTAATTCACTCTATGTTTTATGTAAGATTTTAAATATACACAATATATAGGTGTGTAAGCACACAAAAATTGAAGGGTGTAAGTTATAGAAGATGTGACACTAAATTCACATCATTAGTTTCCATTTCAAAATATCCTACACAGAAGCTTGCAACAATACAAAATACAGCATCCTTAAAAAAAATACATTATGCTTGTGCACTTTTCCAATGCAGAGACGACCTTGACTGACTTTTGTTGTAAGCACAAATTTTTACACAGACACAGCATAAATTGTTTACAGCATTTAAATTATTCTTCCTACAAACTTTTTCAGAGAACATTATACTATTACAAAGAATGCAAATATACAAAATGGGATCAGGTAAATCTAATCCTCTATACAAGTGAGTGTGTGGAAAGTCTAATCCTGTATGAATCACAATCTGTACCAAATCATAGTCTAGGATTGTATCACTGGCCATACTTTGCAAGTACAAGTTCACTGTGATATGAAGTGCCAGCTCGTGCTCCCTCCTATGCTGCTGTAAACTCACTGAATACCCGGGCTGCACAGCAGATTCTCTCTGATTCTTTGCACAGTTTGCCATGGACATGGAGAATCTGCAACTGTAGGCAGAGCTACGCAGTATTTTGTTTAGTCAGAGGATGAACGTAAGCCCCATCATACTGTTTTATCACATCTATCCTTTTACAGAAAAAACCCACCCAACAATAAAACATTTACCATTTAACTGACACACGGTCACAGGCAAGAGACAGACACAGCAGATGAAACAGGAATGCACAAAAAGTGCAAACCACCCAAAACTATTTTGTTTGGAATACAGTATAACAACACAGCCCAAAGACCAGTTCCTTTCTTCACAGAGTCATTTGCTTTCTGAGTATTTGGAATTTCTATGCATTTGAAATCTAATGACCTAATCTAAGGGAATATTATTCTATCTCCTGTTAATAACAAAAAAACACCACACACAGGCAATTTACAAATCTGTATTAAAGTAAGTTTTATTAATCAATAAGTAACTGAACATTTAAAAATACCTCTAATAGCCAACAGAACATAGTAGCTGCCTTTCCCCCACAACACTGTTGGTTTTCCATGCCATATTTGATTACCACCATTTGACCTTTGTGACCTACTTTCAGAAAATACTGTAAGAGTTGTTGCACAAGCTGTACTGGCCAACAGTAATAACATAAGCCTCAGTGTGCCACTGAATGGGGTGACTGTTGACTGTTTTTATTTACTTGGAAAATTTCATAACATAGCCTCCTAATAAAAAACTTGTGAAACATCTAGTACATAAATAAATATGCACGTTAAACAGTGAATCTCTTTAAAATGTGGAGAGACTTCAGTGTTCGATCAATTTGTATAACAAACCTAATGCTTACTGCAACATCAAGACTTCTGTACTTTTTTCAAAGTATGCAAGTATGTTTCCATTTAAAAAATGTATAAAAGAAAAAAATATAAAAATAATTAACAGCTAGAAAGAAAGGGGCAAGAACTAAAACAAACAAACAAAACCCTGAGAGAGGAAACAGGCATCTTCCAATAATATTAAACTGGTTACATGAAGTTCTTAAAGTACTTTTTATGATGATTTTAAAAAAAACAATTTAACAAGTGATTATTTTTGTTTTCAAAGAAGGACCATTCTGTATAAAACAAATATATTCTAAAAGATAATTATTTGTGCAGCAAGATTCAGTATTCTAACTCATTAAAATGAGCTGAACCTTCAAGCTGCAGGTTTTCAGCTAGATCCTAAAGCCTTGATACAAGACCTAGTGATCTGAGCCACAATTATTTACTTCAGAACCTCCTTTGGCATAGCTCTAGTTGCAGAGCAAGAGGTTGTTTTTTTTTAAAAAAAAATGCTGCTCCCAAATATTTCTTCTGTCTTTATGCTTAATAGTGACTTAAAGGACTCTTCCAGCATCACAAGACTGTTAATGCTTTCCCCTTCCATCTCCGGATGACTGAATTAAATGTATTACATAATTAAAATGTGGGGGGTTTACTGTCATTATTACTCACTGGAAGGCTCCACCAAATTCCAAGTAAGAAGAAACGTGTTCTCCCTTCTTATATCTTGGCTTATATCTCACCATCCAGAGG